AAGCATATATTATTATCATAAAATGTCATTCATCGGTAGATTGTGAGTTATAATTGTATATTTTAATAGTCAATAATCGTTATAACTGGTCATTGGACATGGATAGATCTATTATCTCCTATAAGTCTGGCTCTTTAAAAAGTAATCAGATATACCAGTTAATCATGAATTGATAACAATACAGTGCTTATGTAGGTAACATAATGTTAGAATATTCCAAAAACCAGCTGATATCATTAACAAGTTAAATTAGAGCTTAGTCGCGGAATGGGCCTTTTATCAACGAAAATAAAATTAAATACTTAGTATGTTGACTAGATATGTGTGACCAACTCATAAAAAGAAACACTAAAAGTAGACTTCTACTCTTTTAAGCAACAAGTAAATTAGATTAAATATCTAGAAAACACTAAAAACACTAACAATAAAATTCATAATAAAATATAGAGGTGACTGCCCAAATTAATAGACCACTCACTTTAATCTGAAATGTGAAAATGACTTAACGCGTTTTATTATACAACAGTCAAAACTTGTTAATTTTTTTTATTTAGATGCGCTGGAATGCGAATAATGGGAATTATCTTCATATACCATATTAGCTCGGTTAGCCAACAGGTGTAGCGAATCTTTCTCTCATAAGAATTTAAAACTCGAGCGTCTAAAAGCAGTCCTGTAATCTTTTAGGCTAAGTGTCCCATCTGGTAATTCCGTGCAGTAAATTACGGACGCTGTGACAGAGATATATTTATTATTTAATACATCACATTATTATCATCAAGAGTATGCGTGTAAAGTGTGCTAGTAATTTTTTTTCGAAATAGCTCTTTTTCTTGTCATTGCTACACCGCTGAAGTAWCTCTCACCTCCATTCTACCCACTATAAAATAATATATCGAAAATACTGGCACGTCACGTCTTGGACCTATCACTATCGTGAAGGAATTTTGTGTTATATATATTTTTCACACTTTTCCATTACATCCCGTTTATCTTGGCGGCTAATATTTATCACACTTTGCGGATAATTAARGGCAAATAATATAGATATAATATTTGGTGAGTGTCGTGTGGTCAATGTTTGGCAAATGAGAGAAAATGATTTTATGCCGAACCGGAATATTGTCGCATCACAYGTCGTACACACACTTAAATGGTGTACCAAAATAATGATATTTGCATGATATGTATACCAAATAAAGATATTATGAAACAAATGATTTTTTATATTGTAAAAAAAAAATAACATTTCCACAGTTATCTACTATAAACACATATTCTATAGATTTAGTAATATTCTCTCACCATGAGAAGCTTCCAAACTCTTAAACCCTAGAGTTTGTATATTCCCAACAAACTGTTTTTCTTGCTTGTTATTTAATTTTACTATTTTAATCAGTTTGAGTATTATTTTGAACCACACTTTTACACAGGTCATATTGTATCTATTTCCAATTTCCAATTCCTAATGTTATGTACAAAATTTAAATTAATTTGATAGAAACAACTCGTAAGGTAATGATTTAAATGTATTTTAACTAGGTAATATAATATGTGATGATCACATTAAATATTTTAAAAAAATTGCGTTTTTATTTTATATATTAATATAATMTGTAGACTATATAACCTATAACAACCATTTATTTAAACAAACAGATTTTCATCGTGAATTGAGATTTAAATCCTTGTTTGGAAACCTATTTAAAATTTCAATTTYGGAAGATCCTTTYTATTGCATATCTATATCATTATTGGAGCCATTATATTTCAAATTTCAAGTTCATACAATTATGTACGTTTTGTAGTTTTTGAAAAGTAGCGATTATATATTGTGNTATAATATGTAGACTATATAACCTATAACAACCATTTATTTAAACAAACAGATTTTCATCGTGAATTGAGATTTAAATCCTTGTTTGGAAACCTATTTAAAATTTCAATTTYGGAAGATCCTTTYTATTGCATATCTATATCATTATTGGAGCCATTATATTTCAAATTTCAAGTTCATACAATTATGTACGTTTTGTAGTTTTTGAAAAGTAGCGATTATATATTGTGGCATTTATATATATTGTGACTTAACATAAGTTTTGGCCTGTGTTTAGAATAATGAGTACTCTTAYCTAMAATACATTATATTATCTATTACCGACCTTCCTATCCAGTTAGCTCTCACGGTTTGGCACACGTGGATGTCGTCCACGTTGAGTGCTGTGTCACATCATCGTYGGGATCAAAGATAGTATGGTCGTGGAACGATCTATGACAATAATGACAATGGTTGACGGAAATTGTATAATATTCTCATCGAAAAATGGACAAATTGTTGTCGCTCCAAGTGGATGTGTATCGGATAGCTTTTTTTTTCATCTGGTGTTTTTTTTAAATATCATATATCTTACATTACAAGACAAGAACTGTGTATAACAACAGCATTATGAATAGCGTAACACCATCTCGAATTTATGTAGCTTGTCTTAACTTTAAAATACAATAATCTATATATCTKTATTCTATATGTCTCCGCGTTACTATACGTAATATTGAAAAAGCGAGTAAACAATAMGMGCCYTTTATGTTGTTACGCTTATACATACGTTACATATTATGTTCATTGCTTGTCTAGTAGTATAAGCCTATGCTTAATAAATTACTCATTTATCATTGTTTGTTCCACAACCACGATTTAAGATAATATATACACTATAGTANTATGTATAAATTATTATTTAACTACGCGTGGATGTGTATGTATTATATAGATAAATATATATTTGTGTAATGTAATACGCGGGTGCTGTGGTCCGTGCAAGAAGCGATTATAGTTGGTTTTACCGATTTGCCAATAAATTTCCCGTTCGATTTTGAGTATGTGAAAGAACATTTGGATCCGAGCCAGTTTTGCGGCCAGTGTGAGTGGTGTCAAATTTTGCACGTTCCTAATGTTGAGCTCCGCCCCGATTTCGTAGGCCATGTCGAACGTCGACTGCCGGAAACACACGCACAAGCATATATTATTATCATAAAATGTCATTCATCGGTAGATTGTGAGTTATAATTGTATATTTTAATAGTCAATAATCGTTATAACTGGTCATTGGACATGGATAGATCTATTATCTCCTATAAGTCTGGCTCTTTAAAAAGTAATCAGATATACCAGTTAATCATGAATTGATAACAATACAGTGCTTATGTAGGTAACATAATGTTAGAATATTCCAAAAACCAGCTGATATCATTAACAAGTTAAATTAGAGCTTAGTCGCGGAATGGGCCTTTTATCAACGAAAATAAAATTAAATACTTAGTATGTTGACTAGATATGTGTGACCAACTCATAAAAAGAAACACTAAAAGTAGACTTCTACTCTTTTAAGCAACAAGTAAATTAGATTAAATATCTAGAAAACACTAAAAACACTAACAATAAAATTCATAATAAAATATAGAGGTGACTGCCCAAATTAATAGACCACTCACTTTAATCTGAAATGTGAAAATGACTTAACGCGTTTTATTATACAACAGTCAAAACTTGTTAATTTTTTTTATTTAGATGCGCTGGAATGCGAATAATGGGAATTATCTTCATATACCATATTAGCTCGGTTAGCCAACAGGTGTAGCGAATCTTTCTCTCATAAGAATTTAAAACTCGAGCGTCTAAAAGCAGTCCTGTAATCTTTTAGGCTAAGTGTCCCATCTGGTAATTCCGTGCAGTAAATTACGGACGCTGTGACAGAGATATATTTATTATTTAATACATCACATTATTATCATCAAGAGTATGCGTGTAAAGTGTGCTAGTAATTTTTTTTCGAAATAGCTCTTTTTCTTGTCATTGCTACACCGCTGAAGTA